AATAAGGATAGGAGCCAAATTGATTCCGTTTTGATTATGGGATATTTTCATTCCATAATTAGTAGGGTGTAAATATGTACTGATTTCTTTCTTACTTTAGGGTATTAGGTTTATTTACTTATTTACCAATTCCAGTAAATTATATATCGTACCAATTTCCATTGAATAAACATTAAGGAATTAATCACAATTCATCTTTCTACAGAAGCTTTCTAAAGCTATAACAATAGATGCAAGCAACAACAAACTTATAAATTAAGATGCATAAATAACTGAATATTCTAAAAATTAATAATACACATTATTTCAGGGTCAACAATTTCAGTTTTAGCTCTGAGTAAAACAGGTATGTAACAATGTGGTATATAATATCTGTTTCTCATTCCCCAGATAACGCACATAAATCTGGAATGACAAAAAATCCCTCGGAGAACACCAGCTAATAAGCCACAATGAGAATCATTAAACACGAGAAGGGCTACTTTTCTCTCTGCTCTAAAAAGATATAATCAACCCACACTTCTCCTTGCCTGGATCTTTAAACAACCAAAAGGGGTAAAGGAAGGAAGACAAACTTGGTTCAAGTAGCCAATATCCATGAACCTTCAAAAGGAACTCTTGCTGTTGCTGGTAATTACAGTCATCAAGTGACAAAAGTTCACAAAGACAATCCAATGCGTGAGGATCCTAGAGTTCAGTATATATATGATGTTCTTTAAATTGTAAACCCTCTCCTGATTTATAGCATGATAGGCTAAGCTTAAAAGTGAGCTAAACTTGCTTTAAGAAATTTTTATTTTCAAACATGTAATGATTGATTAAAAGAATTTACTTATTTTTGACAATAAGGTAGGGTTACTTTTGAAAGAAGTAATTTCCAACTTAGACCAACAAAAAAGTATTTATTTTAAAACTTTATAAGTAAATTTTAAGCTGAGCCAACATGGACTTCAGCTTTTAAATCAGGATAGGCAGGTTTTCTAAATCCATAATAGGGCTGTAAGCAAAAATCGCTAAACCGGAAAAACGAACCCAAACCGCAATTTCGAAACCGATGGT